AGGAGCCGTGTCCTGCCCACAGCCTCTCTCCCCCTCCAGCAGGGAGGGGACGTGACAGAGGAGCAGGGGAGAGCCCCCCAGGGAGCTCACACTTGGCCGTTCCCCGCCGCCCACCTCCGCCCCCATGCCCTGGGCAGTGGCTACGGCAGAGCCCCGATTCTGCTTGTCTCTTGTGCTGGGCCTGCAGGATAGGCGAGTAGCTCAGGAGAGGAAGCAGGCAGGGAGCGACAGTCTCAAAGTCCCTGAGCCCGATCAGGCCTCCCTCTTCCTGTATCAGGAGGAGGGTCGGCCGAGAAGGGCTCCCATGGTCCACCCCGTCCCCATCACACTGGTGGCCAGAGAAACCACTGTCTAGCCACCAGGTCTTTGCTCTCTCAGTTCCCCATCTGAAATGCCCATCCCCATGTCTTCAGGACGTTCCCCCAAACCTCCAAAAAGTCTCTGAGGCTCCCCGCCTACCTCCCCACGGTGGACAGGCCAACGCACTGAACTGAGTCCACCATGGCGGAGATAGGGTCGGACAGCTCCCCGGCCACTCCAGCCCGGACGCACAGGGGTGCCCCTTGGCTTCGGGAAGCAGAGGAGAAGCGAGAGAAGCCCCACTCCTGGGACTGTGGGACGGACAGCACATGGTGGGGTCCTCTACCCCCGAGGCTTCAGCTCCCTGAGGGACAGCTGGCAGGTGAGAACAAGAGCATGCAACTCCCTGAGTTCCCGGGACCCCGCCACCTGTCTCCCATGGGGCCTGGCACTTGGCAGGTGTCTTGATGAGCATTTATTTGTTCAATAAGAGACCAGGGTGCCAGAGCCACCAGTCCCAACCTGAAGGTCTCCACGCCACTCCCACCCCCGGTGAAGTGTGTCTTCCTTTGTCAGGGTCGGAGGGGGCGGCTGGGAGGCAGGAAGGCCCCAGTGTCCCTGGGCAGAGTCCCCACGCCTGCCCCCTGCCACCCACTCTCCAACTTCCTGATGAGTTATTTTGTAAGGAGAGTATAGGTACAGAAATGGAGAAAAAGGAGATAAGTAAAAAATGGTAAAGGAAGTTCTCTCTGGGTAATGGGATTTGTGCTTACCCACAATCTCAAATTTTTCCACTTTAAACGATGAAAAGCCTCACCTCCTCTACCCTGATGGCCGCCACAGGGGGAGCCCATGGCAGGTAGCGCAATTCTCACTTTAGACACCAGGTGGTGGTCAAGACCTGGGCCTCCCAGCTTTCTCCAAGGTTCTTTTGGGTCCCACCCAGGAGAAGGGAGAGGGCGGGCACAGGGCAGAGTCCGCTGTGGAGGTGACCACAGAGTACCTACCCACTGGTCCTCACAACAATGCCCAGAAGTAGGCATTGCCATCCTTATTGGATGGCTGGGGAAACTGAGGCCCAGAAAAGGCAAAGGCCTTGTCCACCATCACACAGCTCAGCGAGGACAGGGCCCGGACTGGAACTCTCACTTCCTGACTCACTTTGACTCATTCCACAGATGCCCAGGGGTCACCTGCCTTTATTTCCAACACCCAAGATGGTCAAACAGTGATGGAGACCCCCATCCTGCCATAAGCCAGGATGAGGTGGATTTGAGCCCAGCAGCCCCACCTCTGAGCACCCCCATCTGTGGGGTCCCAAGACAAGAGGCCCAGCAATGGCATTCCACAGCAAAGTTCAGGCTTATCCGGGTTCCTGCCCTCAAGTTGGGTAGGGTAGGAGGCCTTGTGGGCCACCTGGGATCCCACCAGGGCTGCCATGGGCAAGGGGTGAGTGGCTGGCCCCAGGATTTAGACCAGCCACTCCACCCCCACTCCATCCCTGGCTGTGCTCCCCCTGTGCCCCCCTGACTCTGCCAGGCCCAGCCCAGAGATACCCTCTTCTCTGCCCAGGAACCTGCTTAGCAGGAGCCTCGGATGGGCCTGTCCCACACCAGCCACGCCAAGAGCAGGAGAAAGAGTGAGGTCAGGGCTGCAGCCAGGGTCACAGACGGCACCAGATCCGAGTCCTCTGGGTCAGGGGTGGCATCACCAGGGGCATGGCGGGGGTTGGCAGGGGCGCTGGACAGCTGGGTGTCAGAGACCTTCTCCCCTGGCAGCCCTGGCTGGCCCATCTGTAAGAAGGAGGAGGTGAGGGACAGGACTTCTCCTGGGAAGGTCCCCGCTGCCCACCCTCTGCCCGTCCTTCCCCCCTCTCTCCCTCAGGAGGCCCTCCCGCAAGGGGCCAGGAGGAACCCCAGAGGTGACTCCCTGAGCCTCAGTTTCTTCTTCTGTAGAATGGGGATGCTAAAGGCCACAGGGGAGGGTAAGGACCACTTGAGACAGCACTGGGGCTCCTGGCATTGCTCCCCACCTCCTCACCTTCTCCCTTGAGATGAGCAGGGCTGGAAAGTCAGGTTCAGCCCCACCGTCTCCCCCAGAGACCTCTGCCCCTGTGCCAGGCTTATGGAATGCAGTTCAGCCAGTTTTTTGGGCACTTGGAAGCCACAGACTCATCTGGAGTAACTCTTCACACTGCAGGGGAAACCGTGTCAAGGCCACCAGCTGCCTGCTGCCTTCACAGGAGCATGGAGCATGGGATGTAAGCACCAGGCTATGCCCATCTTACAGATGAGAAAAAAGAGGCTCCGAGAAGGACGTAACTCCCAGGAGCAGGGCTCCTGAGACACCCTGGAGGTTGGCAGAGGTGGTCACGGCAGCAGAGACCCATCCTCAGGCTCCTCCCTGTCCAGGGCAGGGTTTGGGCAGCTCATCTGCTAAGTTCCAATGCCCTGGATCGGCCAGGGGTGGAGGCAATCCAAAAGTCAGGGATGGTCTCTACCCAGCCCCTTCCCACCTCCCGGCAGGTCTACAAGAAGTTTACCTTCTACCGCTGGGGTCTCCTGCGTCCCAGGAGGGACCCCCAGTGCAGGCACCAGCCAGTGGCAGTCTGAGTGGATCAACTAGCGGCCCTTCCTGCAAAGAACCCACCCTCCTTGGGGCCTCCCTAGGGGAGGGGCAGGAGCTGGGGCGGGGAAGTGAGGGACCCAGCCTCCACTGTGGGTGTATCCAGTCTCCAGAGCAGAAGCAGTTCTCCCAATCCCATCGGGCCAGGTGCCCCCACTCCCAGAGCAGTGCTTTCTGCTGCCTCCAAGCTGCAGCTCCCCACCTGGAGGCTGGAGTAAGATAAGGAAGGGGGATGACTCTGAGTTCAAGACCAGGAGCATCCTGGCACCCATGTTAAATTCCTGTGTGCCCGTGTTGTGCTAGGCACGGGGTGGGCAGGGGAGGTGAGGACAGTCCCAGCCCCACTCCCCGGAGGTCAAGTCCCTGAGCAGCCAGTCTGGGGCAGCCCCAGGTGAGAGAGGGCAGGAGAGATGGGGCAAGCCCAATGGGAGTCCTGTCCCCCTGCGGGACAGGGCGAGGCCCATGGCCAACAGAAATGATCCCTGCTGAAGGAAATCATCCCTTAAGGACAAACACGTTTATCACACTGCTAATTTAAAAAGCAAAAAATGTTTGTAATAGCCTGAATGCCCATGATAGAAGAATCCTGAGCAAACCCAGGTTTGTCCACTCATGAACATCAAGGAGCCATTAAGACAGGGCTGCGCACAAGGAGACTCATCCCGCTTTATTCTGGGGAGAAATAACCGAAGCGCCCATCAAAGGGTAGGTAAACAAACTCGGCACACCCACACATAGCCTCGAAAGGATAACAACCCGCTGCAGCTCTCCGTGGGTGAGTCTCAGGGTACGCTGAGTGGAGGTGCCCAAAGAGCACTTACTCTGTGGTTCCTTTTCTGTGAAACTCAAGGAAGATAAATCTAATCTACAGTCACAGAAAGATAATCAGCAGTTTTCTGGGGTTAGGAGACAGGGGTTGACGAGAAAAAGCACCAAGGAACCTTCTAGGAGGACGGAGATACCTATATTCTCTGCCTTGATGAAGGTGGAGTCTGGGTTATACAGTTGTCCACACTCATCAACCTTTACACTTAAAAGTGGTCGTGCTACTGTCTGCAAGTTATATCTTAAGAAAGTTGATTTTTTAAATGCATTTTAAAAAAGAGCCAGAAACATGAGCATGATTCCATTCATATGAGGTTCCAGAGCACGGCAACGAAGTCCACAGCAATAGAAATCGGTGGAGGGCCTCAGCCATGCAGGAGTGACGGGAAGGGGCACTCCTGACTTGCTGCAGTGATTGGAAGCTTCTGTTTCTTGATTTGAACAGGGGTGCACACAAGTTTTATTCATTGAGCTCCATGTTCAAGATGTGTTATATCTCAATTTTTAAAATATGATTATGAGGACAATGCGAAATTATCGATAGGAATCACCATTTATTAGGTTAGGGTTACGCAAGATAATGCTTAAAATAGGATGTAAAGAGGTCACATACACACTCAATGGGCAACTATGAAAAAAAAAAAGACAACTGGGCAAAAAGACTGAGAGAAGGACGCATGTGCGGCAGGGTGAGGCTTTACTGAGTGTTTTCTCTGTTTTTCTGCTATAGTTGTAGTTCCATGATAGCAAAAGGGAATCCTAACATTTTTAAACGCTTTACTATTTTAACAACTGAAATTTGGAAATGACCCAGATGTTCAACAACAACGTATCCTTTAAAAAATATCTATGGCGCATCCACTCAGCAGCATAGGGTGTGAAGCCGCCCTCTCACTTCGCCCATGTCCAGAGGGAGGGCTGGGCCTAGAACCTGTATTATTTCTTTTAAAGGGTGGGCTTCTAGGGAATTTTCAGTTTCTGCTTATTTTAAAATGTTGTCTCATTACCTCGATGATTCACAATAAGCTCAAGTTATTTCTGCAACCAGAAAAGACCAGAGAAGCAGAAAATACAGGCCTTGCCCACTGGAACGCCACCGTTCCTTCCCTCTGCCAAAGAACAGGCCAGGGCTCTCCCGAGGCCCAGGGTGACTCGGGGATGCCATGTGGCAGAAGTCCAGCCAAGGCCGTCCTTTGGAGGGAAACAAATCGCTGTGTGACCTTGGAGAGGTGGCCTCGCCTCTCTGTGCTTCGGTTTCCTGCTCCGGGCCCAGAGGTGGGACGCAGTCTAACGCCCCAGTGCTGGTACCCGGCTCTGAGCCAGACGTGGGCAAGTACGAACCCGCAGAGGCTCTGCCTCCAGGCTCCGCACGACTGACCAGCCGCCTCCCTCAAGTTTGCGGTTTCCATCCACAGGGCCTTCCCAGGGTCTCCAGAGGCGCAGGAGGCACCGACCGAGCCCCGGGAAAGACCGACCGCACCCGGCACCGCGGGGGAGCCCGCGCCCAGCCCCCGGGCCGCGCCCGCCGCTGAGCATCCGCACCCTTGCGGCCGCCCCATTGGCCGGCGCCAGCTCTGCAGGGCTGCCCCGCAGCCAATCGCGACCGGGGGGCGGAGCTGCGGGCTCGCCGAATGCTCGGAGCTGCTGCTGTTCGCCGGGCCTCCTGTCCTAGCTGCCCGCCTCCCGCGGGGACCCTGCGAGGCGAGGCTGGCCATGCAGGAGCCGCTGCTGGGGGCTGAGGGCCCGGACTATGACACCTTCCCCGAGAAGCCGTCCCCATCGCCAGGGGAGAGGAAGCGGGTCGGGTGAGAGTCGCTGGGCCTGGGGGTGGCGGGTGGGGACTGGCCTTCTCTGGCCACCTGGGGCCTTCTCCGACCTTAGGTGAGTGGCCCCCCGGGGCCATCTGGTCTCCTACCTGCCCCAGACACACGAGCCCTATTTAAGGAGCTGGTCCACCCCAGGACCGGCCAGTCCTCAAAAGGCACAGACAGGGAGACTGAGGCCTAGAGGGGGTGAGGGGCATGCCTAAGGTCACACAGCAAACGTTGGGTAGCAAAGCTAGAAACGGAAACCAAGCCTCTTCTGTCAGTCACGGGGATGGGCTTTGGGCCCTGCCTCATGCATGCCCTGGGGTTTTCCCAAGGCGGCTGGCCCTCAGGCTCTAGGGAGATGCCAATCTGACTGGCCCTCCACCCAGCCCTCCCCGCGGCTGCCCTCTGAGCCTGACAGGGCAGCGCTTGTGCTCAGGATGGGCAGCAGTTCAAGGAGGGACTCAAAGACCCCCCTTGCCCTATCTGCCACCCTTCCAGGGCCCTGCAGAACAAGAGGGTGTTCCTGGCAACCTTCGCTGCGGTGCTGGGCAACTTCAGCTTCGGATATGCCCTGGTCTACACGTCCCCCGTCATCCCAGCTCTGGAGCACTCCTGGGATCCCGACCTGAGTCTGACCCAACCCCAGGCGTCATGGTTCGGGGTAAGGGCCATGCTCTGTGCTAGGGAGGGGCAGGGCACCAGGAGCAGGGCCCGCAGCTCTGTGCCCAATCTGAGACTCCTCCAGGGCCCTGGTCCGCCTCCTCCCTCCCTCACTCTGGGCTCCAGGAGGGAGTGTGGGGGGAGCGAGGCCAGATGATGGCTCCAAAATGGAAGAAGGAAGTACAAGCTGGTGGAGGGGGTGTGGGAAGCAGCAGGTGGGGAGGTGACCCTCTGTCTGCCTCCCAGAGCTGGTTGTCACAGGGCAGATACCTCCCTGGATGATGGGGTGGGGGTGGGGCGCAGGGGGGCAGATGCCAGTGGAAGGAGGCTCTGGCGGGGGCATGGAGGGTCCCAGGGCTGATGGGGGCTACATGGAGAGGCAGAGCACAGGTCCCAAGAGTCCCAGGATTCTGGAGTTATAACACAGGAGCTAAGCTAATAGCCAGCGTGCGCTGGGCATGTGCCAGGCATGGGCTGGGCACTTTCCATGAGAGCTGCTTAACTCCAGGGCCAACCCCAAGAGGTGGGTGCTATTGCTCTCTGCATAATACAGCTGAAGAAACTGAGGTTTAGGCGGGCTAAGCTACTGACTGATTCTGCTTACTGCACCTACAGGGAATCCAAGAACCCCTACATCTTAAAATCCAGGGGCTTCAAGTTACAGTTCTCCTGTCTGCTCTGTTACAGTATTACACATTTACACACGAGGCTGCACAGAACCATTGTGCACACGTGTCCCCCCTCTTCCCCACTGCGGCACTCCTAACAAATGGTTGTCCGCATGCTGCTCATTCGCCCCTGGAGACAGAAAGCTCCCTGGACCGGAGTCCTGCCGCACAGCCGCCTCTAGGCTCTCACTGGGGGTAGGGATGCTGAGTACCCAGACCGCTCTGCCCCGCGCCCCTTCTCTGCAGTCCGTGTTCACCCTGGGCGCAGCGGCTGGGGGCCTCAGTGCCATGGTCCTCAACGACCTCCTGGGCCGGAAGCTCAGCATCATGTTCTCGGCTGTGCCCTCGGCAGCTGGCTACGCACTCATGGCGGGTGCCCACAGCTTCTGGATGCTGCTGCTGGGGAGGACACTGACAGGCTTCGCCGGGGGGCTCACAGCTGCCTGCATCCCGGTAAGGCCAGGACTGCACACCCCAGGCCTCTAACTGCCTTAGCACTGTGTTCACCACCATTTAGCTAAGGCCTCCTGGCCTCCATACCCACTGGTCAATGGAGAGTTAAGCCAGGGAGCCTCAGCCCACTCTCACCAGAGCAGCTAATTACAGGGAAATCTGTCCCCACATTCCAGCTGCCCCCACCCTGGACTCCCCAAACTTCTTACCCCTGTCCCTGACAGTCAGACACATTGCTCAATTGGAGAAAAACACATTGAGCAATGGGGAGGAACGGGAAGTCCCTGCCCTGTCCCCAGGCCTCTCCATCTGCTCCACACACACCCGGACAGGAGCTGGGGCAAGCCCGGCAGGAGACAAAGACACCTGGGGGGAGCATGGACCAGAGTCTGGGTGCCCGCGGGCCTCCTGATTCCTAGCCTCACGCCACCCATTTCGAAGCTGAGTGCTTCTTCCCACTTGACAGGGAAACTGAGGCCTGAGGGAGGTCACATAACGAGTCTTGATCAGCAACTGCACCTCTTCTCTGCCTGGTCAGGAAGCCCTGACCTCTGCCCTTCCCGAGGTCCGCCAGGGCCACCTGTCTTATCTCAGCCAGGCCTGGAAATCTGCGCTCTCACCAAAGGCCCAGGGTGGGCACTGTGTCTTGTAGGTGTACGTGTCTGAGATTGCTCCTCCAAACGTTCGTGGGGCCCTGGGAGCCACACCCCAGCTCATGGCGGTGTTTGGATCGCTGTCCCTCTACGCCTTTGGCAAGTATTGCCCAGATGAGCACCGAGCACCTCGGGTGTGCCAGCCTGGGGCGACAGGGAGCCGCTGAGCAGACCTGGGTGGACAGGGAATGAACGTGCCCCTACACAAGTCAGGCCACTCTGCCACCACCGTGCTGTGTACCTCCAGGCAACTTTCTGCCTCTCTCTGGTCACAACCCCACCCCCACCCCCAACTGGGCAGTGAGGGTTTCTCCTGGGCCAGCAGGCTTCAAACTCTCAACAGCAAAATGTTTCTGTCAAATAGTCCATATGGAGGAGAGATCTAGGGCTGGCTGAGGTGGGTGGGGGTTTGCAGGTAGAGGCCTGGGACCTTCCCTGCTCAGGCTACACGTGTCACCCTGTAATGGCCCTTGAGACCCGCCAAGGAACTCCTACCATGTGCTGGGTCCTATGCTAAGGGCCAGGTAATCCCTGCAGCTCCTCCCAGTCTAGATCGTGGAGACCTGGGGCAATCCAGGTAGGCTTCCTATAGGAGGTAGCCCTGGGACTAGCCCTTGAGGGTAGATGAGGTTGCTTGGAGGCCCTAGTGGGAGGGGGCTCCGTGTCCAGCATGGACCCTAGTTCCTCATCCCTTCCTGTCCCCTAGGCCTCCTGCTGCCGTGGCGCTGGCTGGCTGTGGCCGGGGAGGGTCCTGTGCTCGTCATGGTCCTGCTGCTCAGCTTCATGCCCAATTCGCCTCGCTTCCTGCTCTCAAGAGGCAGGGACTCAGAGGCGCTTGGGGCACTGGCCTGGCTGCGCGGGGCTGACACCGACATCCGCTGGGAGTTTGAGCAGATCCAGGACAATGTCCGGAGACAGGTGCGGAAAGGCTGGGTGCCCAGCCCAGCACACCCACCTGTGGCATCCACAGCTCTGTGTCCACATCAGTCCCTGGGCCTGTCTGAGCCGTAGCCGCTTTCCTGGAAAGTGGGGATAGCAGCAGCTCCCACCTCCAGGAACTGGGGCTGTATCTTAGCACATGCTCGGTGTGATGGATGACCGGGGACCCAGAGATACTGACCAGCAGGAATCTGCCTTTGGCCCATCCACTAATCCAAGGGCCTGGGTCTGGGTGTGGGTTCTGTTCCCTGGCCTGGACTGCCTCAGCTCAGGGGTTCTTCCCTGGAGGAGGGAAGAAGGGAGTCTTCTCCCCAGCCCCAAGCAGTCCAGGACAGAGCGGCACCTGCCAGGGGCGCCAGCACAGCCCCCTCAGCTGCAGCCTCATGTCTGCAGAGCAGCCGAATGTCGTGGGCTGAGGCCCGGGACCCCCACACGTACCGGCCCATCATCATCGCCTTGCTGATGCGCTTCCTGCAGCAACTGACGGGCATCACGCCCATCCTCGTCTACTTGCAGCCCATCTTTGAGAGCACGGCCGTCCTGCTGGTGAGAGCCTGGCCCCATGACGCTCCCTGGCTCCACCCCAAGTCTTCCCTCACTGAGCACCTGCTCTGTGCAATGTGCCAGGACTTCACACGCCACTGGGAGACCGCCAGGGTCTCAACTGTGTGCCACGCACCTGTTCTCAGAGTAACATTGTAAGGAAAGTTGACGTTTTAAATACACAGGATTACAGAGGAAACCAGTTTTACGGAAGCACAGACCCCCCCTGGGGATCAGGGACCCCAGGTTCAGAACATCTGCCACTCACTGAGGGGAGTCACTTCCCCTCCAAACCTCAGCTTCCTCCTCTGCACAATGGAGATAAGACAGAGCCGGCTCCCCTGGCCTGTCTGGGGCCCACAGGGAGATGAGATTTGAAGACTAGTGACAGCACAGTTTCACAAGTCATTGTCATGCCTGGATTCTGTGCTGGCCCTGGTCCCAGTGGTGGGCACAGCAGTGGTACCCTTGCACTAGAGGCCCTGCAGGCCAGACCAGGCGACCAGAGAAAGCACCTGGCACTGATAGGTGCTCGATGGCTCAGTGTCCCCAAGAAGCTGGGCCTGAGCACCCTGCCACACCTTGTGGGGATGAGTGGCCCAGGAGCGGCCGTCAGGGGCCCCTCAACCCCGGTGGCTTCCTTCCTGCAGCCCCCTGAGGATGATGCGGCCATTGTGGGGGCAGTGAGGCTCCTGTCTGTACTGATGGCCGCCCTTACAATGGACCTGGCTGGCCGCAAGGTTCTGCTCTTCATCTCAGGTGAGCGCCAGCTGGTCTCCTGCGCTTGCTCGTTCACACCTCAGCCCTCAGCAGCTGCCACCCTTGTAGTGGGCGCTGTGTAGCTGGGAGCTCGGAAGGAGCTGGTTCACACTGCCCTGTTGGCCCTGCCTCCCCAGCGCCTGGCACACACTGGCTGCTCCAGAAAGGCCTACTCGGCTTGTGTGAACAAAAACCAAGACGCACCATGCGTGCGGTGTGATGGAAGCCCAAACATGCGTGGGTCAGAGCTTGCTGCTCCGTGGGAGATGCACGGCCACAAACCTGAGCCACACAGGCACAGGGTGCTGAGGGAGGGGCCCCCGTGGAGGACGCTTCGGGGGAGCGGCTGGCTCAGGGGGTCCTGGCCCCCGAGGGCCACCTGTCTGTCCACAGCAGCCATCATGTTTGCTGCCAACCTGACGCTGGGGCTGTACATCCACTTCAGTCCGAAGCCCCTGACCCCTAACAGCACTGTGGGCCTGGAGAGTGTGCTCTTGGGGGACCCAGGGCAGCCCCTGGCAACGCCTACCAGCTACCTCACCCTGGTGCCCCTGCTGGCCACCATGCTCTTCATCATGGGTAGGCATGGCAGTGACTCCATGGGGGCGGTGGGCAAGGGCTGGGTGGGCTGCCGGCCAGGTACAGAGGGGCCACCTGTGTGTAAGGTGTGGGGCTGTGGCTGTCCTGGGTGGCACGCTGCTGTGGCAGTTTGGCTGGGTGGTTGGGCAGGCCCTCAGCAGCTCAGCAGAGGTGGCTGAGACCCCTCCTCCCCTCCCCGCAGGCTATGCCATGGGCTGGGGGCCCATCACCTGGCTCCTCATGTCGGAGATCCTGCCCCTTCGAGCCCGCGGCGTGGCTTCAGGGCTGTGCGTGCTCATCAGCTGGCTCACCGCCTTTGCCCTCACCAAGTCCTTCCTGCTGGTGGTGGTAAGTGCTCGGCCCCAGGACACCACCCCCCGGCAACGTCCGGGGTTCCTCCATCATGTCCTCTAAGCCTGTCACGGCTGTGCACCCCCTTCATACCAAGGCCAAGAGCCAGCCAGGGACAACACAGCTGAACCTCCACCTCCATTACAACAAACAGACGCCAGCTAGATGGCGGTCCTGAGGAGTCAGGCAGCCCCCCAGGGCCACAGCCGCAGGGCGCCCTCGAAGCTGGGCCTTCTGTCCCGGGGGCAGCTTGGGTCTCTCAGCGGTGTGCCCTGCATATGCGCGCCTCGCCCAGCCTGCAGACACACAGCTCCTCCTGCCTTTACCCCACCTCTTGGTCCAAGAACCCCCGGCAGGCCCCGCAACCAACCAGAATCTCTTTGAGTCCCAGTTTCCAAGTCCCGCCAGGGCAGGTGGCTACCCTGGAGCAGTCAGTGGGTCAGGTAGGGGGTTGGGGGGTGCCAGTGGGCTGGGAGGGGGAGCATGCACAGGCCGAGCAGAGGCGCGGGGTGGGGAGGGAGGGAAGTCACCGTCGGGGGTGGGGGGGGTCCCAGAAGAGCGTTCAGCACTCTCCCAGGCGGGCTGTGGCAAGCCGCCTCCTGCAGGGGGAGTGTGGAACAGACGAAACTTAGATGATGGGCACAAGGCCAGAGGGCCCAGCACAAGAGGGGGCTGCGTGGACTGCCAGGCCGTGTGGACCATGCTGAGTGGCTGGGTCGTGTGGAGGCAGTAAGGAGCCCTGGGAGGGCTCTGAGCTGGGCAAGGAGCAGCCGGGGACCCCCATGGCTGGCTAAGGCCGGCAGGGCCCACACACTCATGCTGGGTGGAGCGCCCTCGGGCTCCCCTGTGTGACCCGGCCTCCCTTTGACATCCCCAGAACGCCTTTGGCCTCCAGGTGCCCTTCTTCTTCTTTGCCGCCATCTGCTTGGCAAACCTGGTGTTCACGGGCTGCTGCGTGCCTGAGACCAAGGGCCGGTCACTGGAGCAGATTGAGTCCTTCTTCCGCACTGGGAGGAGGTCCTTCCTACGCTAGGTCAGGGTGCCCACCAGGGAGAGGCCAACCACTGGGCAGCCGGGCCTCTGCACTGGCCACAAACTGCACCCAAGTCCAGGAGGCAGCAGCAATATGTCACCTGCTGAGCACAGGACAGGCCCCCCGGGACAACATGCTGGCTCTGGGCAGGCAGCACTGCTGACCAGCCCTGGCCTCGGCTGCGGCATCATACTCATCAGCCAAGACCCACCGGCACGGGCTGCAGGAGGCATGCGGCCCAGCGGCCCACACAAGGCTCTGCCAGGCACCCTTGGGCCTAGTCCCTTGCTCACACATAGAGGATGTCTCCTCGGAGGACTGTGATGAGCAGGCAGGGCTGGGGCGGGGGAGTGGCTCTGCACAGGGTCACCATCATGTCACCCTGTCCTGATCACTCAGCCACCACTGGGCACCTGGGCTATGAGAAGGAAGGCGTGCACCCGAGAGGGCTTGTGCGTGCCACAGGGAACATTCTGGACCCCCACAGACCAGGGCCCAGGACCCAACAGACTTGCTGTCTGCAAACCATGTTCACCCTACTTGTAAAATAAAGAAATTGGGCCCCTGGCCCTGGAGAGGAAGGAGTGAGGCCTATTCCAAGTGGGGGAGTGCCCCCCCCAGAAGCCGAGCTAGACCAAACTGTCAGCCAAGGTCAGCAGAGCCTGCTGCCCCAGGCGGGGTCCCCTTTCTGGCCACCCGACTTGTCTACAGTAATGCGGAGAGAAAACAAAAGCCCAGCCATAGGGTCAGCCCTGCCCAACAGGCTCCAGCTGTCCTCGCTGTGGGACTCAGGCAAATCACTTTCCTCAGCTGATGCTCTGAGCAGGCCAGTTACTCCCCTGCTCAGCTAGCTTGGGGTTGGAGCACCCCCACCACTTACCTAGGGCACCAGAGAAGGGGGTTACAGGCAGACAGCATGAGTGAGCATACAAACTACCACCAGGCTTTATTGCTCAGAAGTACACGCTGAACACTGAGAGGAAACCAAGGCCACTACAACAGTCCAGATGCAGCCAGCAGCCCCTTGGCCACCTGTACAGACGGTCCTTGCAAGACGGGACCCCCACTGGGAGGCAGGCTCAAGGGCTCTGGGACTGCTATGCTTACTGGGTGCCTGCTCCCTCTGGTCTCTGGACGAGGGGCTGGAGGGTCCTCCCACCTCTGAACCCAACTCTCAGGCCTGCCCAGCACCTACCCAGCTTCCTCAGAGGGCAGAGTGCAACCTTCCTAGACACACAGCCAAGCCCTCTCTGGCAGCAAGGACCCCTGTGGCAGGGGCAGCAGGGCCGGGCAGAAGTGACCGCACAGTCCCACTTTCTAGATAAGAATGAGCCAAGAGGGGCAGGCAGCACCCTTGCTCCTCCTGGGAGGTAGGCAGGTCTTATTCGCAACACACGGAGAAGACACACACGCTCGCGTGCATGTACACACACACACACAGTCCCCACCAGCCTGGAGAAGCCTGGAGCCCACAGCCCTCTGAACCCAGCACTGGCCTGAGGAAGGTGGCCCCAGAGGACCCGTGAGGCACGTGTCCCACCATGCATGCCATGCTGGAGGGCTGTCCCCTGACACGCCCTAAGGCAGTACCCGCTGCTCCTCAAATGCTAACAACCCCAAAAGGTGGAAAGTACATCTGGGAAGCAGACCCGAGCACAGCCCCAGGGCTGGTTTCAGCAAAGCAAGACTGGACCCAGAGCTCTGGGAGCTCGGAGCAGACCCGCCGTGGGGTCCTGGGAGGAAGAACAGGAGCTGGGCCCCAGATGGAACATTTTTTCACCCCAGCCCATTTCTGCCCGGGCCCAGACAGGCCCTATCAGACATGCCTAACAGCTGAAGGCCAGCCTGCCAGTCAGAGAAACCAGTGGGCTGAGGCAGAAAGTTGATGGGGCAGGAGGAACGGACGGCGGCACAGAGGGAGGCTGGCAAAGATGATGTACATGCCAAGCTGCTTCCACACTGGTAGCTTGCCACCAGAGCAGTAGGGACAGCTCACAGTGGGGAGGCAGCTCTTATGTCTCCCAGCTGTCAAAAGGGAAGAAGCTCCCTGAGGGCAGGCTGGCAGGAATGCCAGAGGTGAGTCAAGCTTAGACTCTAAAACCGGGCTTAGGCCATTGTTTATATGCAGAGCCACACCAGAGAGGTGGATGGGCAGCCCCATGGAGCAGGGGCAGCCGGCCCTCCACACCTCCTTAGCACCAGGGCTGGGCAGGTGATGGGAGGAGACCTGGGGGCCCAGGCCAGGCCCATGGGCAGGTCCTGGAATGGCTTGTCCAGGTACCAGGGGGCTGGGGCAGGGAGCGCTTCCCAGCTGGCAGTCCGGCAGCTGCCAAGGCTGCTGTTCCAGATACTTGAGGAAGGGCAAGCAGCAGCACTCTGGCCAGTTACCAGGCCCCCAGTGACACGCCTCCCCACTGGACACAGGACCAGTGTCCCCAGGGGAAGCTCTCCCCCACCTTCAGCAGTCCCCAGTGGCCCCGTCAGCTCGGTAAGTCTGGACATCTGCCCAGCGGGTGTTTGTAGCTGAGCCAGGGCAGCTGGGAGGAGTGGTGCCAGGTGGGCGGTCTGTGCAGAGCTGCCTCAGGCTCTATCTACCTCAAGCCGTCCAGCCTGGGCCACTCGAGGCTCACACTGCTTGCCACTACCGCCGACCCTGCTGCTGGCCAAGGCCCCCTGAGCCCTTGCCCGGCCCCTCAGCATGTGGCTCAGGACACACAGAGGAGGTCTCCAGGTGTAGGGACGTGCAGAGGAGGGCGTCCCTCAGGGCCGACGCTCCAGGCCTCACCCCTCCACAACATGTTCACACACAACCAGGGGGTGGGCAGGGAGGGTCGGGTCACCCTGACCACATCACAGGCCCCCCTCCAGGGTGTCTGTGAGCTTCTCCTCATCCGCCTGCTGTTTCTGCTGCTGGATCCTGGCATAGGAGATTGCGCTGCCCCTGGGAAGACAGTGAGTCAGTGTCACACAGGGATGGACCCCAGGCACACAGCCCTCCCAGCCACCACCAGACTCCTGGCCTGTGACCAGGCATGACCAGGCAGGGTCTGCCGGGCCTCCTCCTTTCCCCAGACACAGGAGAGCCAGTCTTAGAGACATGTGTCACCTCTAAGACCAGCACAGGCTGGGATGCCCAGGCTCTGCAAGAGAGGGTGGCGACTGACTGGGACACCAGATGGCCCTGGAAGGGAGGAGGCTCTCCCAAGCCAGGTATGGGCCATCCCTGCTACAGGTTGTGACAAGGCTCGGCCAGGCCACCAGAAAGCCCATAAATTCTCCTGCTCTCCTTCCCTACAGCTGAACACCCTGGGGCACTGACAGCCTCTGGGCCTGTTTCCCCAGCTGGCTAAGAGAGGCCACCCTCAGCCTTCCTCACTGGAGACTTGGGAGGCAGGAAGTAAAGATACCCCCCAGGATTACTTTTTGCCCAGAGCAGAGAGTCCATACAGCACTCCTGTGGCAAAGGCGATGGCATTGCCGAGCAGCGTGGTCAGGGTCAGGCTGATGACGATGGGGCCAATGGCCATCCTGGGGGAGAAGCAGCGGTCACCAGGGCCTCATACCACCTCCAGGCTCCCCAGGAGCCCCGCAGCCCCTTCCCAGACAGTCAGGTACAGAGAGGACCTCCAGAAACCAGAAGCTAGGCTTTAGAAAGTCTTCAAACACCCATGAACTTGATACAAAATTCTGTGCCTTTTCTGGGGAGAAGACCCGAAGCTTTCATCTCACTTTTGAAAGCGACGGAGCTCCAAAAAAGGTTAAACAGCCTAAGATGGTCCAGGGCCTGCCACCCTTCATAATGACAGGCAGATCAGAGAATCAAATGTCAGTCCAGCCCCTTACTAGCTTTGTGGACAAGTCACTTCACTTCTCTGAGACTCAGGCTCTCTATTGAGAAGTGGGGCTCAAACCTCAAAGGCTTTGAGATCGAATGAAGTAAGGCATGCTAACGACTTAACACGATGCCTAGGAACAGCATAAACACCAAATAAACGTTGGCTCCTATTAGCTCAGTAAACCATCCATAGCTGCACAAGAAAGCTCCCAAAGATTAATGCGCACAAGACAAGGGGTTTCTGTCTTGCAGTTTCCTGCTGGAAGCAGCTAAAGGGTAGCCCCACGGTCTGTTCCCAATCCACTTTGGCGCCACCTGGCGGCAAGTGTCTATTCTGGCTTAGGCATCCACGGGGCTCTTACCCAGGGTGGGATTTCCAGACCTGTGGCAATGATTTGGGGTTAACCAGGGCCAGGAAAATAATGGCAACTTGAGGACCAGCGCTCTGCCCTGTCACTTCCCTGTGCACCGGCACTGGCCAGACCCTACCCACACACACTCTGCACATAAAGACTGACCTGCAGCCACCTGGCTGCCAGATGAGGAGCAGAATGGGACAAAGAGGTAATAAATCTTTAACATAAAAACACATAAAACTTGCTAAGTTAAACATTGAAATACCAATAGGTAAAAAGTAAATGGCCATTTTCATTAGGAAAATGCAATTAGTAAAAAGCAGGAACGAATGTTTCACCTCCTAGATAACAGATGTGAAAATAGCACATGCAGCACTAGCTGGGTGGAGAGGTGGGAGACACTCAGATAACCTCTTTAAGAAGCAATTTAGACCCATATTGGGATCTTTTAAATGACTGTAATCTTTGATCTAATAATTCCATACCTGGAAATATATCCTAAAGAAATCATCACAAACGCAGAAGTTTTAGCAAGCAGATGTTCACCACAGCCTGATTCATGCCAGCTTACAAATTAAGGAGAGCATGATATATCCAAGTTGAATAAATGTTATCATTTAAAGTAATATTATGAAGTCTTTGTGGTAATACTGAAAATGTTATATCATGATGATAAGTGAATAAAAGCAGGATACAAGCATACTTATAATGCCTGTAACTGTGTAAGAAACAGGTTTTAAAAATGCCTGCAGACAGGGGCTCTCTTGTCCCTTCCTGGCATGAGCCAGGAGCTCTTTCCTCTCATTTTATTTCTAAATAAAAGCCTGTACCTTGCTCTCCTAAAAAAAAAAAATGCAGCAGACAGACTGAAAGGAGACGCATCAAATGTTAACAGGAGTGGGACTTTGATGATAAATTTGTTTCTATTTGCCAAATTATTTTAATGAATATATATTACTCTTAGAATTTTAAAAACACATTAAAGAAATGAAGATCAAGGCAAAGGACACAATGCACACTAGTGTGTGATCCTGTGTCGCTCTGTGCCTCAGACACTGGGAGACGGCTCTAGAACAGAACATGCATCTTATGCTCTGACTGTCAAACCTAGAAGGTCCCCATGAAGGGAAGAGCCCTCTGAAATAAAAGCCCTGGTACTTATTTCTACAGATAATCTAGATGGTAACAATTAATGCTGCTGCTGCCAAAGCCACTGAGAGCCTACTGTGCGCCAGGTGCTCTTCTAGAAGCTCCCATGTATTAAACACATCCTGAAGTTAGTTCAGTCTCACAACACAGAGGCAAAGTATTACATATTTCACTTGTTAGAAATAGGAGAAAAAGAGAGGAGAGTATTTTGGAAGGCTGTATTTTCTGTTCTGCAACTTGCTTTTCCCTTCGTGTCAGGACACTAGATTGACCACACTCTTGGCAGGCTGTACAGAAACATATTGTATGGATCTGCCAGAATTAGTTTAACAACCCCAACTGATGGGCCACAATTCCAGGCACCTCACATGTTCTCCACTACATGCAATGCTGGAAGGTGTACACATCTCATGGCTGAATCTTGTATGACTGCACCTGTGGGCTGAACTCTAGATGCACGGTCCCGGGGTCACATTTCATAGCAGCTGTCATCACTGACTGCACAGGCTCTCCCAGTGTAAACCTCTGCCGAGAGGTGACGGATAAACCTGTTCCGTCTCTCACCCGGCCAACACCACCATGTGTCCTCTGGGTCACTGAGTATGCAGGGTTTTGAGGAACCACATCAAGGGCCCTTGAGGGTTAAGCCTCCCCCCTGCAGCCCCTCACCCGCAGTAGAAGACAGCCTTCTGCCAGGAGCGCAGCCGGTCCACCTTCTCCGCCACGGTGTTCGCGGACTCAACGAACTGGCAGCAGAAGGGCGCCTCACAGAGCAGCAGGATGAAGGCGTTCGTGCTGGAGGAGCGAGGCAGACCACAGAGGCAGGCTGGCGACCGGGGGACAGGACAGTCCCCACGCCAGCGCCCACGGAACACTGCCCTTTCCCTCCATTCCCCCCACCCCTCTCTCCAAGGCGCCCATCTCTCCCTCTCAGAGCCTCTGCTGAACCCTTCACCCCTCCACGACCGCTCCCCACAGGCCATTCTCACTAACTGAACAAAGGCTCCTTGAGGGAGGAATCTGGGTCTTCTTTTTATCCTTCTCATCTGTGAAGGAGAAATAAGAGCCCCCTGCATCTGGCACTGTTATAAGCTGCAGCCAGTTCCTCCATGTGGAGCACCTTGCAGAGAGCCAGCCGTGGCTCTGCCGGCTATTAGCATTACTGTCACCGTCACCACCACTGCCGTCACCACTGGGAAAACTGTGCCCAGCAGTAAGTCCTCCACCAGGAGAGCCGGGAGCAGGTCAGCCAGTTCACAGACAGTCGCTGAGGGCTGACACAGCCCTGCCCTTGGGAAGCTGGGAGAAGGGGACTTAGCAAGTCCTTTTGCACAGCCCTGTGTTCAGGTGGGGACAGCTAAGCCACAGGGGACTGCTCCAGTCTGTGTTCTCTGTGGCTGGGTCAGAGTCACAAATGCTGACCCTTACGGTGTGCTGGACCCTTCCATCGCCCGCAGCCTGGGAGGAGAGCCTTCATCACCCCAGTCTGCAGAAATGCAGGCCCAGAGTGCCCCAAGAGCCAACTGAGCCCCGGAGCAAGAACTCCGTAAAGCGACTGCTCCCCGGGCCCCCAAGCCCGCCTCCCTTCCACGGGGATCAGGCTACAGCAGCAGGAGGTAGGCGGCGGCTCATCTAGGGCCTTCCAACCACCTGACTCTGTGCCGACCCTGCTCTGCCCTATGGCGGCCGGCACTGCCTGCCCACAGCTAAGCCGGGTCTCCTGATCCCGGCCCCTGACGCCAGCCCTGTCAGACCCTCAGTCCTGGCAGGCCCTCCAGGCTATGAGCAACCAGAAGAAGAGCCTGTGGTAGTGGACCTGGTGCCTGCAGATCCGAGTCAGGAGACACCCAGGAAATGTCTGTGACCCCGGCCTTACACCCGGTAAAAGCCAAGGTGGGCGTTCCCCTGGCCCCGGCCCCGATGAGCGTCAGGAAGTCTGAACATGGTGAATATCCGCACAGCGGCCACGAACGACACGCCCCGAACCCCACCAGGCAGAACAGTCTCGGAGCTACTCACATCATCCACACGCCAGCAGCGATGTTCAGAGGGTGGACGGTGATGCAACTGAAGAGGCCGGAGACGGCGCAAGCTTGAAAGCGACAGACACGGGCAGGAATCAGGGAGGAAAGGGCAGAGCCTGCCGGGAAGGCCACGTGGAAGATGGCTGGCAAAATCATGACACCTAGCAGTCTCCCTCTGCCATCTGAGGCAAGTAACCGGTGTGTGTCACAGGTAAGGAAGCAGGCTCAGAGGGGTGCAGCCGCTTAGACCGGGCCCACAGTGAGGGTTGCAGCTTCGAGCTCGGCAAGGCTGCAGGTATCTTACCCTCTATCCAGTCACGGGCTTGGAAAAGCCCGACCCTCCCCTGGACACAGGCAAGTCCCTCCCACCCCTGAAATAACAAGGAGCCACAACAAGAGGGGTGAATCCTCTTCTACCCCAGAGAGTGACTTCTCCAATGCCCCAAATGTGCAGCCTTGCCCACCGTCCCAACTGTACCCCTTGCACAGGGACTGCCACACTCGCCTCCCTCCTCTATACACGGCCTGCAGCCTGGCTTCACCAAGAACTCCAGAGGCCTGCTGGGCAGTTCCAGGCAGCGGGCTGCTGGGCAAGCATCAGCCCAGGCCATAGCTGGGGCAAGGCAGGAAGTCAAGCCCTCTGCGGCAGCAATTAGCAGTCAGTTCATTAAACTTGCAGAAGCTACTCTGCACCTGATCCCTGCCTCGGGCCTGGAATTCTGCTGTTTACCATGTAACCATATGCAGACAGCAGGCGGTGGAGATGGACACCAGAGGAAGTGAGCCCAAACTGCAATGGGACTGCCCTCATGTACCCCCAAGGTCTCCTAGGACAGCAGCCATACTTTCTGCCTACCAAAGGTGGCACCTGTCCTGGACACGGCACATACGCATTCAGGCAGCAGTGCTCCTGAGGGCCACCAACGTGAATGCCCATGAGGCATACCGCTTCTTCCCTGTCAGCTATATCTGGTCTCACCTGGCAGCTGGCCTACCCTCCCTGCTGCAGGTGGCATTTTGCCTCCAGTTCTGACCCTACCCCCACTGTTCTCCCAACAGCCATCCTGGAGGGAGGACCAAGTTTAAGCCCAAACAGGCTCCAGCCAGAAGTTCCTCAACGACCTAGAGCCAACGCTCTTGCTAAGTGAGGGAGGCGACCTGTGCGATCCTTCCCCCAAAGCTACTGCCCCCAGACAACTGCTAAAACCCAGATGAATGCCTCTCCGAGGCCCCCCACTGCAGCAGAGGGTGACCCTACCCCAAAGAGACCAGCCAGAAGCACAACCCTTATTTGAATCCCATTTTACCTCCAAAATGCTTGCATGCTTTGCATTCTACCCTGTACTATACTATTCGGTATTTGCATGACAATCACCTCAAAACTGCCAATGAAAGTGACATTTCAGGATGATGCCACAGGTTTCCGGATGCTTCATCCGCAGCCCCAACAAAATGAACCACTGGGGCAGCGCAGATACCCCACTCTGAGAATCACAGAACTGGATGGGGTGCCCACGGTTAACCAAGGAGTCAGCAAGGCCACTGCCTCTGAGGTGAAGGGAGGGTGAGGACCCACAGGCCACAGTCAGGGCCTTGCCTTCCTCCCCTACTGACCTGTCACTCCCCACTGCATCCCCGTTCTGATCTGACAGGGAAACAGCTAAGCAAACAAGAGGGAGTCATATCTTAAGGTCTGACCATAAGCCACGGTCTCCTACAAATTGAAAACCAAGCTTGCTCAGAGCAGCAGGGACTGGGGGACATTTTGTGATTTGGGGGAGGGCCTTGGGGGAGGGCCTGTCCCATTATCACTTCTGGATAAGGGCACACCCTGTCAGAGCAGCGCACTCCTAACCCTGTACGCCTGAGCCACCCACCAGGGACTGGAAGGGGACCCTAAAAAGGTGTTCCTTCCCGCAGATCTGATGACGGCCTGCCCTGCCCTGGCCCCAGCCCTCTGTGGCAGGAAGACACTGTTCAAATCCTTCAGACTTCTCCAACACCCCCTTTCTAAGACCTCCCGCTGTGTCCTCCTGCTCCAGCGATTCCCAAAGTTGAGGGCAGCAGGAAGGGCGCAGACCATTCAGACCAACTTTTATTTGCCTCCAGAAAACCTGCCATGATCTTTATTTCACTTCTGTAATAGATCTGCCTTCCTATCTACGTTCTCTGGAGGCGTGTGCTAAAAGAGCCAGGCTTCCCGGGGAAACTTGGGGTCCGGGTGTGTGTCCGGGATGGGGCTGGGGAGAAGGAGAGAGGAGAAGTGGCTGAGGCAGAGCTGACAGCAGCCCAGAGATGACAGCTCAGGGAACGCACTGGCCTCCAAGTGGACAGCGAGCACCCAGAGGAGAGGCCGCCTCTCTCGGCTCACTGCCCGGAACCTCCCTCGGGGCGCACCTGACCCTCAGGAAATCTGGCCACACCCGCAGCCGCCCCACCTACAAACACCGTCAGCCCAGAGGTCAGGAAGGCTGCCTTCCCCACCCACGCCCAAGTCAACAGGCTAGGCTGCCTCGGGCCTGGCTGGCCGCTCTTTACCAGCAGCACCTGGGACACCTCGGGAGGCGCGGAGTAGGTGCCGCACGGTCCTCTCGGCCAGGGGCGCGCAGACACAGTGACAAATGGGACCAGCGCCCCCGCGGGAGTTCGTGTTCCCTCCTGGAACGTCCCCGGGGGCTGCCAGCCCAGCCCCGGACCGAGTAGCCCAGGCACAGGCCCGTAACCACAGCAACCGCGCGGGCGCCCCCGGCCCCACGCGGGTCCAGTCCGTTGGGGCGTGCGGGAGGGGCGAGGCCGGGGCGCACGCGCGGTGGGAGGCAGGGGGCCGGCCCCTCCCCCGGGCCGGGTACTCACAGACGGCCCCCAGCACCCCCGACAGGCGGCACAGCCAGCGGTACCACCACGTCATGCCCTCCTCCTGCGCGGACGACGCCGAGCTGACGGACGACGCCGCCGCCCCGCCTGGGCCGCTCATGCTGCCGCCGTCGGGAGCAGCCCGCCACCCTTACAAAAGACTCGGAGGCGGCCGCGGCCGCCCAGCGCGCTGCCTTGTGGGAGAGGAGGCCCTCATTAGCATAGAGGGCGGGGCTGGAGGGGCGCCTGCGGGGCTCGCGCTCGGCAGCGTAGGGGGCGGGCCCTGGCTGCGCAGGCCTCCCAGGCGGTTAGATATTCCCAGCCGACCGGCGTCGGGGCCCGAGTGACTCCGCGCTCCCTTCCCCCTCCCTCTCCGGGGGCAGGGGGAGGAGGACCGCTAGCGGTGGCGAGGGGCTCGCTCAGGTCAGGACTGGGTCTGGCGCCCGGCCGCGACGAGGAGCTCCCGCAAGGTCGTGGAGGTTTTCACGCCGTTTGGACAGGTTATGAGACGGAAACGCCACACAGTCCGCACGTTCCGTTTATTCGTAGAGGCCTGGGGCTGCCTTTCTGGGGTCCTCGCCTACCACCGCCCGGCCTTATGCATGCTGGAGGCCCTAAAGGAGATACTTAGGATTGGAAGGAATTCAAATTGGAAAGTACTGAGACCAGAGTCAGCTCTCAGCTCTCGGGGGCTGCCCAGGCACCCAAGAGGCGCTCGTAAAGGTCAGGTTCCTTCCTCCGCCTTCCAGGGCGCAGGGAGACAAGGGCTTGGAGAGGAATCTAGGGCAGGGCCCAGCCCGGCTCGGGTGTTCCAGATCCGAGGGTCCAGTACTGGCCCCGCAGTCTGGAATGAGCCTCCAGGAAGCCCTGGCTAAACTCCATCTCAGCCTGGCTACCCTCTGACTCCCAGTAGAGCGCCTGCTGTCCACGGAATGTTGTGGTCCTCAGGCTGTGGATGTCCCGGATCTGAGGGGAGAAGGACCAGGCACATAGCACTCAGTAGAGCCCTTACTACCCTCAGGGTCACATTTACCCCTCATACAACAGCCCTGTCAGGGGAACACTACCTTCTACCCAGGAAACAGGCTCAGAGGAGTTGTGCCATTTCCCCAATGACACACAGCCAGTGTGCCAAAGCTGGGATTTGAGCCCAGGTCTGTGTGATTCCAGAGGCCAGGAAGCCTCTGCCAGGAGAGCTGATACTTTGCAGAGGCCAGTTCTCCCAGAACACAAGAAACCCCATGGTGGGGGAGGGAGTTAGCCCACTCTTCTGAAAAAGTTATATCAGGGTCTAAAATTATGCTTCAGTCCTAGACTAACTGACAGTCTGCATCAGAAAAGGTCTTTCCTATTTCACTCTTGTATAGAGCACAATAAACATATACTGGTGAGTAAGCAGAGGAAACTTTTCTCCTGTCCTTTCGCTAATGATTTGGAGGGTTTTGGTCTGCAGTAAACCCAGGGGGTCCTCTAGCCCCGCATCTCCAATCCCCATCTCTAGGGATGGCTGTCCAGAATCAGCAAAAGTCAGCCCATTCCTTTCCCCATCCTGAAAGCCTTACCAGGATATAGGCGGCATCATTTCCCATGCTCATGTTGGTAGCCAAGGCATGGATGGCGATCCGCGCCCTTGGAGCCACATTGATGAAGACACGGCAGCCCCCCGTGCTCCTCCTGCCTGGAATCATTGAGGGGCTCGTGATTTCACCCCGAGGTCCAAACAGCTGCACATCACATTCTGCACAGAACAGGTGGATGGACTGGGTATGACCACTCTGGGGTCATAGAAGCACCCCCAGGAAGACCGCTAATGCCAGAGGCCAGGGCCGCTCACAGCAGGGAGCTGGGGGGGGGGCAATATGATGCTGTGGCCAAGGTGGGGGCTCCCAGGCAGAAGCTCCCCCCAAGCCCCACCTCTACTACTTCCCACTGTGACCCTAAGGCAAATGCTTTAACAAAGCCACATGTCAACGAAGTTGCGTGTGCAGAAGTGTTTAACACTGAGCCTGTCACAAACGCCACTGCCACTGTTGGGAGCCAGTGGAGTTCTGCCTGTCTGGGCCTGCTGGGTCCCCCACGAGGCAAGCACCCAGGCATGGGGAGGCCAGGAAGTGAGAATCCGAGAAAAGGAAGGTGGCAGGCCCTTGGCTCATAAACGCCAGTGCTCTCAGGCACCGGTGCAAAACTGGAGGCAGGGGAGGCAGCGCCAAATCTGTGGAGGCAAAGCCTCTTTTCACTGAGGCCTGGGGGACCCAGAAACCTCTGGAACCAACTGGGAAGCCACCTTCAGTCAGTTTGGGCTGTTGGGAGAGGGCAAAGTCCCTGAGGCCACCATGAGGGCAACTGGAGGACACTGGTGGGGTGCTGTCCTCTGCAGGAGATGCGCATGTGCACACGCCAGGCAAACGTGCACAAAACATGGGATGAGCCAAGAGCACAGTGCACCTGCACGGGGGGACGTGCTCGCGGAGGGCCTTGAAGGGTCCTGAAGGAGCTGAGTGCTGGGGCAGGGCTCGGGGATGCGGGGGCTTGTGAGACAGGGTGAGGGTGTGGCCGGAGTCCCATGTCCACCCTTGTCAAAGGCCCCAGAGAGGAAGGGACACAGCACACAGCCCAGGACCTCAGCCTGGGGCTGTGGGTATCAGGAAAGGTTCTCTATCTCGCCGTCACCCCCTGCCTTGCCCACCGCCCCGTCGGGACTGGCCCAGGGGCAGCAGCCCCCATCCAGCCACCCTGCGGGAGGTGAGAGGGCACTGGTGCCTCCTACCTTTGTGGGAGGGTCCTGGGGCAGGCCGGCTCCTATACCGCAGCACAATGCCGCCGCCTGGCTGCAGGCGGCGCTGCCTCACCACTAGCGTGTTGGCTTTGGAGCTGAAAGTCATGCCGGTCAGCCTCCTGCACGTCTTCCTCCACGTGAGCCTGCCCCAAAGCAGCAGCATCTCCCCTAGGGAGCAGCAGCCGTGAGGTGCAGCGCCCCCGCTCCGGGTCAGCAGCACCATGGGGCTCTGGGGTAGCTGAGCTCTGGTCCCGACTCTCCCACTTAGTAGCGAGGTGACTCTAGGTAACCAGCCACATTACTTAAACTCTCCTAGCCTGAGATTCTTCATCTGTAAAATGGGGACCATCACACCGCAGTCATGGATGGCCATGGTGAACATGACTGGGATGCACGTGGAGCACCCTGCCGGGAACTGGGCACCCTGGAGGCACGCCCACTGGCACCTGGTTGCCCCACTGCCTGCACAGCTGTGTGTGTGACCCTTAGACGTACCAGCGCTGCAATTGAGGGAACTCTCAAGGACCTGGAGGGTCACGACCTCGCCCAGGGGCCGCCCGATGGCCACTGCACAGTCAGCCTGCCCTGGGCCTCGCATGTCAATGGTTCCTGTTGGCTCAAGGTGCTGCTGGCCACACGCACCTGGAAAGGGAGGCGCACAGGTGAACAGAGCTCCCCGGCGGGGCATCCCCAGATGCTGGGGAAGGGGAGGGGGAGGCAGGGGTGGCTGACACCTCCTGGGCCCAGCTGGAAGCCTTCTCAGGCCAGGGAGAAGGCTGCATGGGTCAGAGTGTCAGCGTCCAAGGCCCCGAGCTGCCTCCAGGTGCTCCGGTGAGAGGGAGGCAGTACAACTACATGGCCTTGGGTCACACCATGAGACCTGCAGGTCACCTTCCATTGATGATGACGAACTTGAGCTTGCACCTCACCAGGGAGGAAGAGGCCATCCTTGAGCCCAGCCTCCCAAGCCCATCCTTTCAGCCCAGCAGCACACATGTCAGTGTCCCAAGTGCTGCGGCCACAGGACAACCCCCAGGACATCTCCACCAGCAGTTCGGCCAAACTCTCCCAGCTGGAGATGCCCTCGACCACTCCTCCTGCCACCAGCCAACCACCTGGGCAGAAAGGTTAAAGGAACGTAACTGAACTCAGCTGTGCTTTCTTGGGGCCCTGGCAGGAGTCCCTGTGGCTGGACAGCTGGGGGCAGGCTGTGGGCCCAGGGCTGGGGCCATGCCAGGGAAGCACCAGCAGGGGCAGCTGTGGTCTGGCCTGGAGCAGTGGCTTCCTCTTGGGACACTGGGCTGGGGGTCCCCTGCCCAGCACAGGGTCCAGCCCAGCAGCCCCGCACTGTCGCTGGCTTGGGCAAGTGCTGGCAGAAGTCGGCTGGCACAGGCGCCTGGGCCTGGGGTCCAAGGCAGGCATCATGCCGGCGCTGGATGCCATCCCCGCAGGAGGCAGAGCACTGCCAGGAAAGAGAGCGAGTTGGGGCCGACCCTGCCAGAGGGAGATGAGGACAACAGTGACCCCCAGCCAGAAGCGATCTGATAGAAGCTGTGCACAGCCTAAGCATTTCCACTCTACAGATGAGGAGACTGAGGCTCAGAGAGGTCCCCTGCCATGGGTCATACAGGAAGGAGGAGCCGGGATTCAGGCCCAGATGGCTGTCATCCCCGGGGCCTCTCCGCCTCTCCGAACCCCAGGGCAGGACCAGGCAGTGTGGCCTTGTCCTACACTCCATCAGTCACTGCAGCCCGGCCCACGCCCTTGTCCAAGCTCTCCTACAGCCCACCCAGAGCCAGGATCCTCTGACCAAAGTAGGTGGCGGCTGTCCGGTTTGTCTCTTCAGCCCCTCCACACCAGGAGTGAGCCCCTCTGCCAGGGAACCCGGCCCTGTTCACCTTGGTCTTTCCCATGCCTTGCGAGGTGCTGAGCATGGGATGGCATTTCCTCACCTGGTGGAACTGAGTCCTCTGCCCTTGATCGTCTGGTGTCTCCCAGCCTCAGGACCTCTCAAGGCCCAGCTGCCTCCAGGTCTCCAGGCCTTGCTAGGTCTTCTGTCTCTAGGTGCCCTGACTGCCCCTCACCAACAGACCCCACTTCCTCACATTTCAGGGGACCACAATGAATCAAAGCCCTGCAGGGTCCCCACGTATCCGGCCACTCAGCTGATGCACTCCCTAGCTCAGCCATAGTACTTACCTGTGTCCAGGCGCTGACATGCCACCGGTAGGTACAGTCAGCAATGACACAAGGGATGCTGGCCTGTGGCCGCGCCAGAGCTGCACAGGCCGCCCCGTCCACCTCTGTATCCTGGCCTCGGTCGAGCTGCACACAGGCCACAGAGCGTGTGGCAGTGCCGAGGCCACAGCTGGCTGAGCATGGACCAAGGGACGTGATTTTCCACCTGCAGGAAGAGAAGACCCCACAGAGAGGCTGGGCCTCCCCCAAAGGCAGCACTGCCCAGTGTTTGGCCCAGTTTCTGAGGCCCTGGGACCTGGGAGTGCAGCCTTGAACTCTTCCTGTCCAGGCAAGGGCTCATGGCAGGGGAAGGCTCTCCAGGAAAGAGACCTCTTTTCCCTTAACAAGGTGCTCCCTTTCTCCCCCTTATCACATAGGGCTCATCCAAGTAATGGGCAGGGGAAAGATGCCCCAGGATAAGTGAAACAGACTCAGTAACTCAGCATCAGTCAATCCTGCCCATGATAATTTGTGAGCATTCAACAAATGATAGCGGTGGACCTTTCAGAGCCAGGACTGAACCCAGGCAGCCTGTGCTGGAACCAGGGGTTCTGTTCGTGACACTGTGCCACCCCCATGACCCTTTGCTGCCATGTCTCAGACACAGGCCTTCCATGGGCCTGCCATTGTTCCAGATGCTGGGGAAATGGCAGGGTATCTGTGCTTCTCCACCTCAGCACCATGGACATTTGGGGCAGGGTGGCTCTGTCCTGGGGGCCACCTGTACAGTGTGGCGTGTTACGCAGCTCTCCTGACCTCCACCCATTAGCTGCCAGAAGCATCTCCCCCTCCCCAGGCTTGACATTAAAATGGGAGGCAGACCCTGGTTTAGAAACCACTGCCTTAGGAAGAAGACAAAGCAATAAACAGAGAAATTAGTAAATGTGAGGTGGCAGCAGATGCTGTGAAGAGTACAGCAGAGCCGAGGGCCACGGGGCGGAGCGGGTGTGCCCGTCCGGACAGGTGTTCGGGGACGACTCCGCACCTCTGTGTCTCGGTGTATTGAGCAGATCCTGGGTGACAGGCAGCCCAGAGAAGTCACCCTCAGTGTCTGGGAAGGCAGGTGCAGAAGCCCTGAGCAGGAGCACCCTGGAATACCCCAGAGCATCAAGAAGGGTGGGCTACAGTGACACCCTAGGGTAGCCAGAGCTTGTGTGGGAGCAAAATTCCCATAAAGATGCTAGATCATCCTTCAATGTGATGCGGAAACTTAGATGGGCGTGCAGCCCAGGGACTTGGGCAGAGGCAGAGAAATCAAGAGACACTGTGGATGGCGGCTGGGTCATAAAGCTAGGATATTTAAAACGATCTGACGTGGGAATGCGACGAGGCGGGGAAAAAACCCCAGCGGAACCTAGCAGAAAGCCTCAGCGTAAATTTCAATGTACACAAGAACTTAAGATGTGCTAAAGGAGCCAGAGCACAAACTCGGCTGCTGGGTAATGATCTGGAAGAACAAAGCTGGTTCCCTGCTTTGCAACATGCCCCAAACAAATCCCAGAGGAGTAAGGGTTCTAATTTAAGTGGAAATCTTATCTGTCATAGTGTATTTCTTTAAAACCAAACAGACAGCTAGGAAGGCAGCATGGCAATAAGGTAACACCTAGTCAATCTGGTGGTGAGGTGTAGGGGTCTGTTAGCTTCTTTTCTGGACGTTTCTGTATGATGAAAGAGCACTTCATTATTAAAGGTGCAAAATCACACAGAAAACCACGGAAGCACTGTGAAGAAGGTGGGTGGTATTTGCCCTTCCCCATCAGGCTCCAGACCCCACCTCTGGACCCCACTGTCCTGTGTGGGGTGGCACCACCCTCAGGTTCTGCTCAGAACCGCCTCCTCCCTGTGAAGCCCCAGGCCTCCCCACACCCCATCAGAACCCAAGTGCCGACCGTGTTTTGCTGGAATGTCATCTGACACCAGTGCGGCCCGCCTGGTATTCCGGTTTCCTGAGGACTGTCCCCTGTGCCACTGAGTGGCCTTTAACCCCCACGGCACTTGGCCTGGTGTCTGCCACCCCAGGAGCTCAGGCTGCCTATTGGGCCACAGGGGGGCTACTGACCTGGGTGGGCAGGGCTCCGGGCTGCAGGCCTCCTGCTGCTGTGGGCGAGGCAGCCCCTGGCACCGAGTATCTGGCAGGATCTCCTCGTCTCTGTCCACCCCGTGGGCCCGGGCACAGTACAGGATCCTCTGCACGACGCCTCCCCCACAGCTCACGCTGCAGGCCGCCAGCTTGTACTGCCACCTGGGGCAAACCAGTGTCAGGGGGACACCCAAGGGAGCGGGCTTCCCCTCATTTCCCCAGACTCAGGGCCTGGAGAGGGTCTCTCACTGGGTGTAACTGAACATTCAGAAGAGCCCATTTTACAGAAGGGGAAGTTGAGGGTAAACATGTGTCCAAAAGGCACTCAGGGGGAAGGGGAGGTACTCAGGGCCTGCAAAGATGTCCGATAAGAATCCCAGCACCTCACCCACCCCCGCTGGCCCAGACTTCCTCCCTGCAGTGTCTGCCACGCAGCACCAATCATGTCCATCAAGATGTGTGTCTTCCCGTCTGTCCTGTTCATGGCTCGTGTCCCCCTCGCCCCGGTGTCTGCTCCAGGAGGGCAGGGGTGCACATCTGTGTTGCTCATTACCGTGTCCCCTGCAGCTGTGTCTGGGTAGCGGTGCTCAGTAAAGAGCGAGCTATAAACCCCAACCATGTGCCTCAGCCCCGATCCTGCACGGTGCCTCGCTCCCTTGAAGGCCCCCTCAGCCTTCCGGGGCACCAACATGACTTGCTCCTGCAGGCGAGGACGCCGGGGTCAGGAACCTGCTGGGGGCCTACTCCACGGAAGCATCTGAGGATGACCTGTCTGCCTGAGAAGAGGCTCACCTGGCAGGGCAGGGCTCCAGGCTGCAGTCCTCAAGGGGGCTGGGCCGGGGCAGTGGCCAGCACTTGGAGTGAGGCAGGGGGACGGGGTGGCCACGGTCCTGCCTCACACAGCGAACAGCCAGTGGCACCTGACCCCCTCCACAAGTCACTGGGCATGGTGCCAAGGCTCGGGTCTCCCACCTGCAGGAAGAAGGCCAGTGCTCTGAACGAAGCCACACCCCAGGGCGAGACTCCTTTCTCCCCGGGGTCCCAGGCTGCTGCCCCTGCAGTCTCCTTCCCCACTCACCGAGCTGGGCACGGGGCAGCCTGGCAGACCTCCTGCCGGCTTCCAGGCTTGCTTGCCTGGTCACACAGCTCTTCCTGAACAGGAGTCCTGAGGGTGGAGTCCATGCATGCAAAATGCAGCTCCATCAGACCTGCAGGGAGGAGGCAGCGGCCCCACAGCCCAAGAGGAGGGCTCAGCAAGGACCACGGGTGCCCAGCTCTCTGGAGAGCCCTGACAGATAAGAAGGCACATGTGGAGGCCTGGCTCTGCCACCTAACAGCTGTGTGACCTTAGACAAGTGACTCAACCTCTCTGAGCCTCAGGTTTATCATTTAATGGCACCTAACTTGCAGGGATATTTATGCAGGCTTTAAAGGGGACTCACAAAGAGACTGGCAGATAGCAGGTGCTCAGCAAGTGGCAGCTGCTATTCACTGAGAGGCACTGTAAGAATTTCTGTATGAAAATCTCTTACCGTGTTTATCATAAAGATGCTGTTAAGGCCAGACTCCTACCACTTCTCCTCTAGGGTCAGCCTCAAAAGGTCTGCTGTCAATTCTAAACATGCTGAAGTTTTATGGCACAAGTGATTGGGGTTTTCGTTTTAGAACAGTTATCTTGAAATCGGTTTTGTTTTTCTGGTTTGGCCACCAGGAAGCTCAGAGCTAAGTTTGGGGCCCATCTCCCAAAGATTTTCTGGACCTTAAGAAACATGCACTTGGGTGGCAATATTGCCAGGTGTTATGGGCTTTCCCAACTTTCAACCAATCAGTGAACACATGCATGTGGCTGTTGGTACACTGCCCCAATCTCCTTGTATGATGTATCATGCTCTTGTGTAGTTCGGATGTCTTGCAAGCCAACTCAAACGCTTTTTAGAGCTAAGAAAATGCAGGCAGATAAGAGTTACTAGTGAGCGCCGGTCCTCAGGAGCGCTGGGGGCCTCACCTCGACCACAGGAGACAGAGCACAGCCCCACCAGGGCAGTCCACACGTGCGTCACACGAGCCCCCAGGCTGGCACTGTCCAAGGGGGGTGTAGCCCCCTCCCCTGGAGACTGGGGGTCCAGCTGCAAGGGGCAAGCAACAAGCTGGTGGGCCTGGGCTTCCCACTTCCAGACCCCTGCACACCTGGCCCTCCACTCCCACACACCCCAGTCCATTGAGGAGAGAGCAGGAGAGGTGGCCAGCAGCCCAAAGGCTGCCCCTCCCTGCTGCCCCTTTCGGGGGAGACTTGCTTCCTGGCCCCCAACATATGCCTTCACCACCCCCATCCATAACCTTGACCTCTGCAGCAACAAGAGTGTTCACTGTGGAGTGGATCTGCATACAGTGTGAGGGGACAGGCATGGCCAGCACCCTTGTCTGAAAGTGACACCACCCAGTCTCCAGCCCCTGACATCAGACAGGAGCGTGGCAGTGTTTCTCTGCGCAGCAGAGAGGTGCCCACGTTCTAACAGGGTCTGGATTCCATCAGCCTGGCTTCCCAGCATGAGCGTGCTTCCCATCAGGCCCTGAGCTCTTTCTGCGTTTGTGCCCTGACCAGGGGATCCCACCCACAGCAGCCCTATAGGACAGTCCTCCCACTGTGGCCAGGAGGCAGCCTTTGCTCCCCATCCTCCTGGCCAGGTAAGGACCCAAAAGCCAAGCCACCTTCATGCCCACGACTCACATGGCCCCAGGCCGGGGCACACGCCACAGCCACACAGGGCTCGAGGGCAGGCAGCCTGCCATCTGTGGAGCAGGGCCCCGCAGTCACTGGTGCCTCCAGGCCATCTGCCCCCTGCACGCACGTCACATTCCGTGCGTCCAGGTCTGCTCCACAGGCGGATGAGCATGCGCCTGACCCCTCCTGCCTGAGGATGGCACAGAACAGACATGAGCCCTGCCTCTGCCATCTGGTGGTAGCGTGGCCCAGCCACAGGAGGCAGCGAACCTGCTCCCCAGCACCCAAGAGCCCAGAGGGGGCCCCACAAAGGCGCAAGCCCAGGGGGCTTCCCCTGAAGTGCTGTTAACTGTTGCCAGCACCCAGTCCAGTGACACAACCCTGCCCCTCCTGGCTTCCAGAGGAGAGGCTGGGCCTCCATCCAGGTGACATCATTCCATGCAGCCTGGCAGGTGCCGAGAAGCAGGTGCCAGGTGGACTCGGATCACCCGGGTCAGGGGTGGCGAGTGGTTGCCTGCGTGAGCCAACCCTGAGAGGTGGTGGCTGCCTGGGGTGCTGGGTTGGGGGTTCCGGGGTGGGATCAAGCCTCATCAGGGAAGAACGGTGACACCTGTCTGCCATGGACGGGAGAGGCGAAAGGAGCCCAGAGCCACATGTGGCCCACCGATGACCCAGGCTAACCCCTCCCCCCAGATAACAAAACCGGGGCCCCTAGAGGGAGGGGAGGTGCCCTGGTCACCCAGCCAGTTAGCGGCAAATCAGAATGGAAAGCCACTGTCAGCTGGGCACCAAAGGGATGAGAGGCATAGTGGGAATGGTGAGAATAATGGAGCGATGGGCACTGCCTCACTCGTGGCTTCACCTGGCCCTCCTGGCCCCTCCAGGAGCAGGGCCTTGGAAGGCAGAGGGGAAAACGGCCCTGGGTCTCTTGGATAGTAATTCTGAAGCTAGCAACCATGACCCTGGGTCACCACTGCCTGTCACCTAGGATGCTGGGGCCCAGCCAGAGGCCTTGGGAAGAGGGGACACTCAGAAGGGGCAGGGTTCAGCACAGGGACAAGCCCTGAGGGTGGACTCTGCCTGGCCCTGGCCCCGTGAGGCCCCGTCCCGCCCCACCCTCCACACGCTCACCTGCCAGGGCAGGGCTGTGAGTTGCAGGTTTCCACCTCAGCTGGCTGCTGGGCCAGGGCCCTGCACCGGGCCGGGGGCAGCATCCTCAGGAGGCCGCCCTGGGCCTCCATGCAGCGCACCTCCCGCTCCCGCAGGCCACCCCCGCACGAGGCGCTGCACTGGCCAAAGTCTCCAGCCGCCCAGCTGAGGGGAGAAGGATAGAGCGTCGGGGCCCTGGCCCAGGTCCATAGGATGGCTCGGGGGATGGCGTAGGAGGCAGGCAATCCATCTAGCTGACTCCTTCCCTGGGCTAGGCCAGATCCTGTGTCCTTTCAGGCACCTAGACACTGCACAGGCATGGCCAGCCCAGCTAACTAGCTCTCCAGGTGTCCCCAGGCTTCACCTGAGCTTGAGGACACCCGTATAAAAGTGCTGGTGGTGGCGGCCCCAGCCACACGCCCAACAGGGATGGCCTGTCCCTAGCATAATGCTCCTGCCAACTGCACCTGCCACGGGTCAGGGACAGAGAGGTGCTTTCCATCTCCACCTCCTTGAGTCTCCACCACAACCCTTCAGGGAGGGTGGCCACCTCCATCCTGCAGAGAGCACTTGAGCTCAGAGAGGGCACGGGCTGCCCACAGACAAGGCACAACAGGTGTGGGATTATGAGGCGCAATGCACTGGGATGACTGCCAACCGTGTCTGCCTGAGTCTCGGTATACCCTCACCTTCAGAATGGGGACACTAACACCCCTGGCACAGGACAGCGTCCAGGACTAAGCAAGAGCATTCCCAAACTGCCCCACCAGCTAGCCCGACTCCGTGAGCTACAGAGGCCAGCGGTCACAGCTGACCACCAGGGGCCATGCACGGTACTCACTAGGCAGGGCAGGGCTCGCGGACGCAGGACTCCTGCCAGGCTGCAGGCTGTGGGTGCCCTCTGCACTGGGCAGCCTCCACCCACTGGTTCCTGGCCCGGTCCAGACAGCTGTAGGTCACCCAGCGCAGTCCTGGGAGGGAAGGAAGAGGTTAGGTCACTTCTGAGCAGGGGCCTGGGTGGGGAGTTGGGGGCAAACCATACTTTGGGTGAGCCCTGCCCCAGGCCTCACCTGACCCACAGCTCACCGAGCAGGACCTCCGCACGGCGGCCCATGCCCAGGCCTGCTGCTGCTTAGGCTGGAAGTAGGTGAAGGTGATGTCTGGGTGGGTGAGGTCCCCGTACTCCTCGCCATAGCGCCTGTAAACCTGCAGGGGACAGACAGAAGCTGGGGGCTTGTCTACTGGCTCTCTGAGGGGGCTCAGAGGATCACTGGGTCCCATGCCCAAGGCCAGCCCCAGAGGGACCACCTGGAGCACAGAGCCCAGGACGAGGCCCCAAGGTCCCAGCACTAGCCCCCGACGGTGACTCACCCCACCACCCACTGTAGGGCTCTAACTGTCCCAGTGGTGATTCTTGGCTGTTCTGGCAGGTCCTGACATGGTGGTAATGGGGGGCCCAGGAATCTGCACTTCGATACACCATAAAAAATGCCAGCAACAGAGCTACTTGGAAGCCAACATGTGAGAACAAAAAACTGGGTGGGGGTAACCGGGACACATGGGCAGGTGGGCAAGGGGTGAACCCCTCATCAGGGCAGTCGCTCTGACCTTGACTTCTGGGGGAGCCCCTGCTGTCTCCTGCAGGGGTGTAGCAAGGACTACTAGACCAAAGTCAGAGGCTGCTCAGAGTGGTGACACACCAGCCATCAGAGGTGGAGTGGGGACAGATCTGGGCAGCCTGAACCCTTGCCGGAGGAGAGCAAAGCTTGGGAGGCAGCCCTCACGGTGCCCACCCCTTTGCCCCTGAACTTCTGGGTGTCTCACTTTCCCACCATTAGGACGGGACATCTCCAGGCCTCTGCGTACTTTGAGATCCAAGCTACCACGCACTTTTTAGCAATGGCCACCTTTCATGGTGCACGTACGGCGCACCAGATGCTCGGCCACATGCTTAATGGATGCTATTTTTTAAAATGAGCCTGCACAAAAACCTTGTGACATAGGTATATTTAGTTCCATTTAGCAGATAAGGAAACTGAGGCTTGGAACAGTCAAGTTTCTTGGAGCCAGAACTCAAACTCCAGTCCATCTGAGTACCCAGCCTGGGCTCTTGACCCCTGAGTCACCCTGCTTCCCACCTGGCTGACACTGCTCCTGGAGGGACACCCCCACAGTGGAGCTCCAATGTGGGCACTGGCCCACCCGGCCTCCCTACTGCCTCGGTCCCACACCCTCCTGCAGCTAGGTCTGCACAGGCGCCACACCGACTCCACCCTGCCCAGAGCCCCTCAGCTGCCCCGGCCCCCGGGCGGAGGCCCAACTCCTCGCATGGCCAGCAAGGCCCCTCGAGATCTGCCCAGCCCTCCAGCCTCCTCGCCTGGGGGACCTCTTTGTTCGCTCCTCCAGTTACTCCCCCTGCACGCACAGCTCCCTCAGGACGTTTCCTGCTTGCTTGGCCTGGCAGCATGCACTCACCTGTGCAGCGTGGCCCCTCGCCACTCAAACCCCTGCCCCAAGCAGGGCCCTCCCTTGCATCCTGCTCAGAGCCCCAGGGCCTCTGCGGTCTCTGAACAGGGGACCGTGAGGCCCCAAAGACTGCGGGGCTAGAGCAAGTGGGTGCAGGAACGGACGGCGGCCGAACACCAGGAGGCGCCCTCCGGTCACCTGGAGCTCCATGTCTTCCCGGGTGGGGCCCTGGATGCGGATCTCCTCCAGGCGGGGCAGCCGGTCTTCAGCAAGGGCCACTTTGTACTCCACGCGGCTGTCCTCCAGTGGGGAGGGATAGGTGGTGCTGGGGGAGATGCTCGAAGTCCCAGCCACAATGTAGCGCCCTCGGATCCTCACCGCTGTGGGGGGCAAGGCCAATCAGCGCACAGCATGCCAGCCCTCTGCACATCCACGGGAGGTCGAGCCACCCCCTCACAGGCCACTGCTGGTTTAAGGAACGAGGTGACAGCCAGGCCACTGGGATGTGAGTTCCGCAGCCACAGCTGCCACCGCTCTCCCTGGGAAGCAGGTCCTCCTGCAGCTCAGCCCGGGGGCGTCTGCAGTCACAAGACACACACTCTGAGATGCACACACGCCTCTGACCACAGAAGGCTTCCCCTCTGGGGCGCCTCTGCACCCCTTTCCAGAACTTGGTGAGCACCGCGGGCCTGCTTCCCTCACCAGGTGCACTCACACGGAGCTGAACAGGCGGGTGTGAAGGCTCAAGGACCCCAGGATAAGCACCCCCACTCCAGATTCAAAGGACAAGTGCAGGCGCCCTCTGGGAATAAAGATCCACTGTGGCCTTGAGTAAGAACGTTGGCCTTTTCCAAAGACAGGTCTGGCCTTTGCCCTCAGCTTCGGGAGGGAATGTACGCCACACCTGGTAGAAGTGTTTTTGTTTAGGGTTGGGGCTGGCCGTGCGCAGAAAGGCCAAACATGGGATCTGGGGTGGGGGCTTTTGAGTCGCACAGCCTCAAGTCATCCTGGAGACTGAGACCACCCACGTGAGCTTTCAACCATGCCTGCGTGCTGAAGCCCCACTGAAAAGTGGACGCTGAACTGAGCTTCCTGGGCTGGCAAGGCCCTGTGCGCCCAGGCACACTTCAGTGCTGGACCCGGGATGCCCCCAGACTCTGCTCCTGGCCTCTCTTCTTCTGGCTGGTTTTACTCTGCCTCCTTCCCTGTGATAAGCTGGAACTGTGAGTGTAACAGCGATGAGAGTTGAAGCGAGGGCAGCTTGGGAGCTGGGCCCCCAACCTTTGCGGTCTGGCCCCAGGCGAGCATCCTCAGCCCACTCACCCAAGTGCGTGAACAGAGGCCTCTGGTTGATGACGTATATACTGGTCAGGTTGGGGGTGACTGTCAGGAAGGTGACATACTCTAGGAGGAAGCAGAGGAGTGTGGGTGACCTCAGGTCACTTAGGTCACAGGAACAGACTTCAGAGGTACAGAAAAAGGGACCTCAACACCAAAAGCTAACAACGCAACAGGGCTGCCTCAGGCAGTAGTGAGTCCCCTGTCATGGGGGGCAACCAAAGCTGGGCTGGAGGGCCACGTGCAGGGCAGTGCACTAGCCAGGATGAAGGACTGGGTCCAAGGTTCTGGGCACAGCATGTGGCCCAAGCAGAGAGGTGGATTTGACTCCAACTGACCCTCCAAGCACCATTTTTGCATATGACTTGACTACTTTTATAAAAAGATCAAAGTTGTGAATTTTGCAAGTGTAACAGCCCCTGTGATAGGATTCCTTGAACCGGAAAAGGAGGCCAGCCTGCCACAGGTTGCCCAGCATCAGTATTTTGCACTGTGGTGGCGTGAGCAGCTGCTGCCCAAGCACCAGAATCCCAGTGATGGCCCCCCAATCTGTGCAGGGGGCCAGGCAAAGGGGAGGCCCAAGGCAGGGGCCTGCCAGGAGGGCACAGGGCTGAGCCCCAGGGCTCTGCCCTGCTGGTGTTTGTTGGAGGCTGGGGGAAGTGGACCCTCCACCCCGAGGGAGGCCCCTACCTCTGGCCCTTCCACCTGTGAACGAGCCTTTCTGGAGGCTGCACGTGCTGTTGTCCCCTCCACACACCTGGCACATGTCCCGCACCTGCTGGGAGTCCATCCTGCCATCACAGCCGAATGTCTGTGCAGAGGGGAGAGGAAAGTGAGAGCCAGGCGGGTATCGGGAGCCCGCTGACCTGCACAGCTGAGGCTCTGAAGTCCACCGACACACTGGGGCATTTCTGCAGCATCTGACATCTACGCAGGAGACAAGCTCGCCTGAGGTCACCGCCAGGCTCTAAACCCTCGCTGACTCCAAGGCTGGCCCAGTGTCCCGGCACTGCCTGGGCTGGTGCCACTGCAGAGCCGGAGGGCCAGCACACAGACCTGAGCCCAGGAGGCCTCCTCTCCACATGGCTTCTGGTGGGGGACAGCCTCAGGGCCCCGGTGGGCAGAAGGACACCTCCGCTGCCCATACGTGCTCACCCTGCAGCTGCCCGACACACACAGGCTCAGGGCCCCGTCCTCCCGCCGGCCACTTGGCACACACCGGGTCCCGTCCAGGAACCTGTCCCCACGCCTCACAATGAAGCTCTCGCCGATGGCCCAGCACATGAGTTGGCACAGAGGGTCCCCTGTGAAGGCAGACGGACAAGGAAGCTTTATGCAGGATGGCAGGCAGTAGGGAGGGCAGCGACCCTGCAAAGCATGACCCAGTTAGGCCCCCATCCCATCAGCGCCATCTAGCCTCACCCTCTGCGTTTGTGACAAGAGCCCCTATTTTCCTCCTGTCCTGCCTCCCGAGGCAGCGACTGTGACCACGACGTAGTGAATGTGACTGAAGGATGAGCCAGGGCACACAGCCGGTGCTTCCCTGCCCCGGCTCCCTGACTCCTCCTGACACCCAAGCAGGGAGATGCTGTTGTCCCCTCCATTTTACAGATGGGAACACTGAGGCTCAGGACCTGCTAGCAAGGCAGGCTCCTCCGTCAGCACAGAGCCTGAGTCTGCGCTGGCCTCTCGCCAGCGCTGGAGTAGTGGGGCCAGCCCCCATTGCCCCCAAGCCCCACCTTGGCTGTACTGCACAGCAGCGCCCCAGCGGTAGAAGGGGGTGCTGCCTGGGGAGAGCTGCAGCGGCTTCTGGTCAGTCTGGGCGCACTGCTCCGACATGAACTCCAGCTGGGTCCCCTCGCAGGCCTGGCAGGGAGGAGGCAGGGCACAGGCATGGGAGGGGCCAGGGCAGGGGCTTTGCCACTGAGGACCTCGAGGCACCTGCTCTGCGAGAGTCACGAGGGCTGGAAGCCAGCTCCTGCTGCACCCCAGCTCCCTGTTCTGTAAAGTGGGGACACAAAAGCCTTTCCCTCCTCATGGCAGAAGACCAGGAGAGGTTGTAAGGACACATGGCAGAGCCTACACCTAACAGCAGAGAGGAAAACAAGGCAAAGAGCTGGGCTCACAAACCAGAAGACTAGACTTCCACGCAGGCCTGCCCACCCCGAGGCCCCAGCGCCAGGTGAGGACTCTGCCCTTCGGGTCTGGGCAGGACTCCTGTGTCCGCCTGGAGAAGGCGGGAAGGAAGCCCTCACCAAGTGCAGACCCGAACTCAACGCTGAAAGCAGCTTTCTGCTACTTCAGTCTGCTGATGGCTGCGATAAAGACACAGACAGCAGGTCCTGGGCAGGCTGGAGAAACGGCAGCCTCGCACAGGACTGGGGGAAGGCAGCATGGCTCGGCTGCTGTGGACAATGGTTTGGAGGTTCCTCTAAGAGTTTCCATAGAACTACACGTGACCCAGCACCAGCAATTCCACGTTTAGGTATATACCCCAGAGAATTAAAAACTGCACTCAAACAAGTCCACGCACGTACACACATGCTCACAGTAACCACCAAAAGGTCAAAATGGCCCAAACATCCATCAGTGGATGCATGGATAAACGGGATCCATCTGGACAAGGGCATGTTACTCAAGGGGGTATACTCCGACATGCCACAACATGGGTGGGCCCCAAAACGCCGTGCTGAGGGAAGGAGCCGGGTGCCAGAGGCCACCCAGTGTGATCCCACTTCTGTGAGATGTCCAGAACAGGCAAATCCAGAGACAGAAAGCATGTGGGGGGTTGCCCAGGTGTGAGGGGTGAAGTGGCTGCTTAATGGGCCTGAGGTCTTATTTTGGGGCGATGGAAGTGTTTTGGAATTCCAGAGAGATGGTAGCTACACAATACTTGGAATATCCTAAATGCCGCTGAGTCACACACTTTAACATGGCACGGTCCCTGTGGGATGGCATGGCCCTGGCATGTGCACTGCGACCTGGAGCAGGTTGTTGAGCACCCCATTCACTCTCCAAAGGGCCCTGTGTGAACCGCAATCAGGCTGCCCTGGTCCCTGGCTCCTCCAGGGCTGGCACTGCTGCCCTGACCCTCACCCTGCCCGGGGACGCAGGCCTACCTGGGTGTTGCACATTTCAGCCTGGAGATCAGCACCTGTGCACGCACGCCCCCCAAAGGCAGGTCTGAAAATGCCCATGAGACAGTGAGGGGGACCCACTGTCCCCCAACCAGAAAACGCTGAGTAGGCCACCCTCCCTGACCAGGAGAGCAGCGCCCCCTCCGTGTGGTACCTGGGATTGTTGCACTGCCGCCTCCTGGTGACCACACCCCCTCCACAGGAGCGGGAGCACGCACTGGGGGAGCCCCAGCTGGACCAGTGCCCGTGTACTGCCCCCACAGGGGCCAGCTCCTCCAGGGAGTGGCAGCGACCCTTGGAACACCACTGCAAGACAAAGACAGTACCATGTCCCACCCAGGGCACCCCCACCCAGGGCATCCCCCACCCAGGGCGCCCCCACCCAGAGCATGCACACCCAGGGTGCCCCCATACCCAGGGCGCCCTCACCCAGAGCACAAACACCCAGGGCACTCCCACACCCAGAGCACCCCCCTACCCAGGGCACCCCCACCCAGAGCACACACACCCAGGGCGCTCCCACACCCAGGGCACCCCCCTACCCAGGGCGCCCCCACCCAGAGCATGCACACCCAGGGTGCCCCCATACCCAGGGCACCCCCACCCAGAGCATGCACACCCAGGGCACCCCCACACCCAGGGCACCTACACCCGTAGGCACCCCCCACATGCACACATGCCTGCACCTCTCCATCCTGCTCAGGGCCAGTGCTGAATGGCAGAGGGCAGACCTCCCATGGGGCCCCCATGTGGGCAGAGGGAAAGGGCAGAGGCACCGAGATCAGGAGGCTAGTGGGAAGAGGGGCCTCTGGCAGGCCTGAGGGGGCTGGGCAAGGGAGCTCAGTTGCTTGGTCACTCCTTGTGGACACGGGCTGACAGCCCCACCCCAAAGGCCAGGCCTGGGGCAGCAGCTCACTGGCAGTGGGCACTCATAGCTGCTGCTCTCTTGGAACAGTGTGGGGGCCAGGAGGGGGACTCTGGACCCCCACTGCTTCAGCAGTGTTACTACTGGTCCTGGGAATCTAGAAAACCCACCCTGTCTCCGGTGCCCAGTAGAGGAGCCCGGCGAGCCACTGGGCACCTGAGGCATCTTGCTGCCCACCTCTCCTGACAGGGTGACCAAGGGCAGCTCCAGGGCCCTCTGCCCTCACTCACTGATGGCCTCCTGTCGCCCACCCCCAGCAATGAAGGCTGCCGGACTGCAGGTGCCCGTGTGAGCACACATGCACACACACACACACACAACTTCACTCCCTGCTCTGACCTTCTCCACACCACACTCCGTCCCATCCAGCAGAGGAATGAGGAGGCGACTACAGCTGCTTTGGTCCAGAGGGTCTGTGTGGCAGGAGAGAGCCTGGCACATGTCCTAAGAGGGAAGACAGGTGGCTATCTCAGAGGCCACCAGAGCTGTTGGGTCATTGCCCAGCCTCAACTGCCCCTCCCAGCCCACAGGACACAGTGACACAGCCAGTACACTGCTCTGACCAACTTCTCCATAGAGACAGGGAAAATGACTAGGGCCTACAATCCTCCGGGGAGCCCAGGAAAATGCTCTCATTTCTTTTAAAATCAGAAGAAACAAATGGCCATTTAGGTCAAAGAGAATATTCCAGTGTATAATATTAATACATTTCTAACACACAAAAATTTACATATTTTATAAAAACACTAAGATGTAACTATGTTTTACATAGAAAGAGAGGACTGTGCAGCCATGGGAGGAAGCAGTCTTTGGGGTGCCTACCCACTTCAGCCCTCCCTCCCCAAGCCAGCTTACACTCCTGCTGTAAGTAGGGTTTGGTTTGGAGGTCACTTCCTCTGGGAAGTCCTCCAGGTCCCACTGCACTGGAAGCCCTTGGTAAATGCCTATTGTGGATCAATGTTTGTGGGCTCAGGGGCCAGGCCCAGGTCAGCTCTACATAATTTCTGGACCCAATCAAAACGAAAACGAGGAAGGCCCTTGAAAAATTAAGAATTCTGAAGCTCGACTGATAGTCTGGAACAATGGGTGCTTAAAGCCCACAGCGGGGCCTGCGCTGGGCATGAGGACCACTGGGCTCTGGCAGAGGGCGCCCTGGCTGCGGAGGGGCGTGGTGGTGGGTGCGCGCCACCTTCGGCCAGACTCACGAGGTGCCCCCTGGTGAAAGTGCAGGCGACTGCTGCAGGGCCAAAGGCGACGCGGCACTGCTCGTCGGCGCCGTAGCGGAGGCCCGGGTGTGCCTCGGGAGGACGCCCCGCGGGATCGGACTGCGGCCCCGGCGGGTCCCGCACACAACGCGCCCGCCCTGCGCTGCGACAAGGCCCCGGCTCAGGCCCCAGCTGGACGCGAGTGGGGACACGACGGGGG